GAATCAGACACCACCCGAAAATAAGGCAAGTTATGCAGTAAATGTTTCATTTATTGGATTTCTTCCATTACTATTAGGGTTAAAAGATGGGTTGTCAATAAAAATGGTATATTTATGGAGGGCTCCGTGTTTCAGAAGCCTATTTCTTGTCATTCACTCCTATAGTGCTTGATATCACCTCATGATAAAGTGTGAATAATCCCTGCATGAATGCATATTTCTACCCATTAACGATTTTATTATTTGACAGAATTATCTCTAACAAAAGCAAGTGGTACAGCTGTGGTTTAGGTGCTAAAAGGGAGGGATGTTCCTACTGAGCAATAGGCATGGCTTGGGAAGCAGAGCATGGATTGAGAGCAGAGCATGATTGTTATGAGCTTGAAAAGCAATGCATGCAGTTTTTTGGGACTAATTTTCCAATGTTTCTCCATCAAATGAGAATAGAAAGTCTTCCTTTATCTAGTAGCACACAGTGACCTGGTCAGTATGTGTGACATCTAAAGCCACAAAGAAATCTGGCAGTAGCACCATGATCTGGCTGTTTGTTGATATTTTCCTGTTTAATAGGTTTCTTGAATTTTCACGTGTGCTTGTTTCAGTCAATGCAAATGACTGCAGACAGGAGCCATGGTTTCTGTGTTTTCATGCTGTCATCTTGTCTGCCCTAGAAAAAAATTCCCCTCTTTGCTAACTCTGGAAGAGCCAGTACTGGTAAGACACTAGGCAGATGTGTTTGCTTCCAGTTATTGGAACCTTTTCAATATTGATTTTTTTTTTTTTTTTACATTCAGAGCAGATTTAATGATCCAAGATTATTTGTAAACATGCAGATTCCTTTGAGCTGTAGACTCAAATCCCTGCCCGGTCAACCAAAGTCCTTTTATCTTTCCAAAAGAAATAATTTGAATTTTACACATTGCAACCTACATTGGGACCTCTCGGAGAAGACCATGAAAACAGATTCACACCAAATATGTAAACATTAGCCAGGAGATCCAGCTGGCATTTAGCAGGCCATATTTCTCCAGTAAAGGCTTGGGCCTTTAGTGAGATGTTTAAGACTCCAAAACATTCCTCATAAAACAGTAAATTTCCTTGGCTGCCCTATGTCAACCTCTCCCCTCTTCAGTTCATTGCACTGTGAGCTGTGAGGTGAAGCTCACAAGGTTTTTCACTGCTGCTGTTCTACTGCAGGAGTCTCGGGACCAAACTGTTGGGCCCAAGTGTAAAATGGTGACACCGTCGTCAGTCACCAAACCCCACAGCTCAGATGTGGTACAACTGCACTGAGTGGTGAGGGTTACAAAAGCTTGGAGAAAGGCACTTCCACTTCTTCATCTGTGCTAGAGGTCAGCTTTGGCAAGAAAGACAACATCTCTTGAATGTGGAGCACCTGGCTTTGTCTCTCCAGCTGTCACTTAAAATCGAGTATTCAAACAATAAATCGTGTTTCGTGACATGGGCTAGCTTGAATTTTTTTTATTCTATTTTTTTTTAAAAAAATATTGTGTTTCTTTCACTGTTAAACGCTATACTTTTTTTTAAAATCCAAGGTATCATCTGAGACTCTACTACTCAAAAGCTGCTATTGACCCCTGGAGAGCTCTCACTTCCCTGACTGTGAAACAAATTGTTACATAAGGAGAAATGATACAAATCAGATGCACAAGCCTTCCAGAGTGACTTGTACAACCTTCATTCAACCGAGTTGGTTCAGTAACCATCTACAGTCCTTGGACTTCACAACCACACTCGCTCTAGGCTGCAGCTTGAAAACAAACCCCTGGAAGTTTGCAAAAGGAAGAACTTGATGAAAACTCGAGAGCAGTTTCCTGGCCCTTCACGGGACTCCTCTGAATCCACCATGGGGGCAAAACTGCAAAAACGTGCCCAGGAAACACCTTCCACAGCTGGGGCACAGCCCCTCGCCCTTCCAGAGCCACCTTCCACACCCAGGACCACCACTGGCACTGGGGCAATCAGCACTGAGCTCCCTTCTGCCAGCATTTACTCGTGTGAGTAACATTGCTTGCACGAGCAGTCCGGGTGTGGCATCACCTCCACAAGTCACCTGTCAGTGATGTGACTCATGTGTGAGCCTCTACAGAACCAGGCCCTTCTTCTGCAACCAGCTGTGGGAAACAACTGCCTCTGTCCTGCACCCTAACTTTTGATGGTGCTTACTAAGTAGTTAGCAACTACGCTGGGACTGAAGCAAAAGCATGCTTGTTTAAAGAAAAATCCATAGCAGATTGTAAAAGGATCTTGGGAAAACAAAACAAAACTGTGCAACTGTTTTTGTTCATTTGGATCAAATTATAGCACATGGCCCTGCAAAATAAATAGGAGTCTGTCACATTTGTATTTCTAATCTCGTATTGTTTTGGGATATAAAGGCGTCTGAAATCAAAAAGCAAACAAAAATGGAGAATATTTGTTAAGGTGTCACTCTGCAAGGCACTAGTTTGCAGAGACAGTAAGTACATAATCAGGGGTAAATGGGGAGTGTGCATGCCCACAGACAGTTATTTAGTACAATTTCTGAAAGTAAAAAGCAAGTTAGTCAAAAGACCAGTGGAAAAAGAAACTGTACAATGCATTTGTACATTGAGTTAACAGTGAAGTATTTCATTAGTCATGTTTTTACTTGGTGTCTTAAAATAATCCCTTTTCTGTCTCCATATTCCCACTTAGACATTGTTCACAGACTTATTTATTTATGAAGTCTGAAGGTTAGTCCCTACCTGCTGAGACTAATTAGCCCTGTTCTTTGTGTCCTATGCAATCCTGTCTGATTAAATGTACACATTTGTTTTACTTCTTTTCATGCTTCCTTTCACTCTACTTCTGCTTTACTGATTAATATTAAAGTTGTAAGTTGCAGTGATTTTTTTATTTCTATTTTGTCTGCATCTTTCCCTTTAGTATGCAAATTTCTATGTGAACTTTTTAATGCCTGAGAATTCGTGTTAGCCTTGTCGATCTCTGTATTATTATTTTTATTATTCTTTTATAGAAGACAGTTTAGCTGAAACCCCCAAACTCTCTAAATATTGCATGACAAATTGGCTTTGTTTTGGAAACCCTATGTGCTGAATGACCCTCAGCACGAGCAGCAGGTTAGATTTCTGGAGGAATGTTTGGATTATTTAGTACAGCCTGTCCCTTGCTTTCAAACACCATTTCCATTAGGCAATTTACTAATTCCCATTGAAATTACTGTCTCCCCCCGCCCCCCTCCCCACTCCCCTCCTTTTGTTCCTTGCCCATGTTAAAGTTTCCAATTGACTCGTCCATTGTTACAATTTGTCACTGCTGGAAGATCAATTTGTTTTCCCCTTCCCCTCGCCACATTAGATTCGGGGAACAGATGCCATTTCTCGCATCCGCATGACTCCGCTCCCCGTTTTGTTGCCGTGCGGGCAGAGCCCCGGCCGGACCGGCAGGGACCCCGCGGACCCCCCTTCCCTTCGACTGCCCCCCAGCAGCGCGATGTTTACGCCACCACAACTTTTCACTTCTGAAGTCTGGGAGTCCTTGATTCTCCGTCCTGCCATGCTAATTAACTTCTTAGCAGTCACATTCCTTTTCCTCCTCTCTCTCTCCTTTTTTTTTTTTTTTTTACATCAAGGACCAGAAAACATTATGCCTTACTATAAGATAATTTGGAAATATCTGATCTTCAGCGAGTGATCTCACACATTTTCATCCTGCGTGTTATAACCATTGTAAATGCAAGGACTAAAGTGCTGCCGCCCAAAAAAAAAAAAAAAAAAAAAAAAAAAAGGCTTTTACTATATTCTAGTATTTATTATGATTGGAGTTTCTTGCCTCCATAGAGTGGCATGAAAAATGTTAACGGTTTAAAAAAAGCACCCACCGCACCACCCTGCCGTCACATGTACCCATGTACCCAAATAATAAGGGCACACAAACATCCTTCAGGAGAACCCGGGCTGCGGGGGGATGATATGTTTATTAATGTCTAGAATGTAAAAGTTGGCGCTCCCGGAGCGCGGAGTCAGGGACACCCGTTCGAGTGTTTTTCCCCTCGCTCCCCCCGTCCCGCAGCTCTGAGCTGCGGCGCACAATTTTTAAATTTTTTTTTTTTTTTTTTTGGCCAGCCTCTCCCCCCTCCTTTTGCGTGCCGGCCCCCCCAGCGGCGCCCCCGCCCCCGCTGCCCTCCCCTGGCGCTCCCGCTCCCATGCCAAAAGGGATCATTGTTAGTTTCCTACTTCCCCCACCCTCCTCCTCCTCCTCCCCCTCCCGCGCCCCAGACCTGTTTATTTATGCAGACGTCACCGGGGAGCCCCCGCCCTCTCCTGCATCTCATTAAGTGCCTGGTGTGTTTCTCGCTCCCTGTCAATAATCCCGGATCCCAGACTTCTCCGTTCCTCCGGATTTCGATCCCCCTTTTTCTATCTGTCAATCAGCGCCGCCTTTGAACTGAAAAGCTCTCAGTCCAACTTCAACTCACTCAAACCCGAGCGGCACAGGCTCCCCATATCCGCGGCGACTGCCCCCCCGTCACAGCTGACTTCTGGGCTTGGTTTGTTGCATTATTTTTTTTTTAACCCCCCTCCCCCCCGCTGCTCCCCCCTCCCCACGGTTTATATATTTTTTATTATTATTAATTTTTCCGCGAGTGCGTGCGCGGGTGTGCGTGTGCGCGCAGTGCACGCCGAGCAGCTCCCGGGAAGAAAGAAAGAGAAAATCCCGAAGAAGGAAAGGAAGAAGCCTAAAGTCACTGGTGCAAAGGAGCAAAGAAGAGACATTTCCCTCCCCTCCTCCTCCCTCTTTTCCCCTCCCCAGGAGGAAAGAGAAGGGGAAAAAAAAGAAACTTTCACCTTGGACTCTTCTTTTTTGGTGCAAACTTTCCTCCCCCCCCCTTCTTTTTCCTTTTCCCCCCCCATTCCCCTCCTTTTTTTTTTTTTTCTTTTGTTTTTCCCCTTCCCCTTTTTGCAAAATTGCTGCTGGTGGGGTGAAGCAGGAGGAAAATGCCGCAGCTGAACGGCGGTGGAGGGGACGACCTGGGCGCCAACGATGAACTGATCTCTTTCAAAGACGAAGGGGAGCAGGAGGAGAAGATCTCCGAGAACTCCTCGGCGGAGAGGGATTTAGCTGATGTCAAGTCGTCTCTCGTCAATGAATCAGAAACGAATCAAAACAGCTCCTCAGACTCGGAGGTACGGGGGAAGCCCCCCGCGGGGCCGTTTCGGGGCGGCGGGCGGGGGCCGCGCTGTGCCCGGGGCCGCGCCGGGGCCGGGGGCGCCGCGCCGGGTCCCGCTCCCGCCGGCGCCCAACTTTCTCCGCGGCACCAACTTGTAACGATGCCTTCTGTTTTGTTCTGTTTGTTTCCCCTTCCACCTTCTCCCCGCACCTCTCCCTTCTTTTTCGCCTTTCATTCCTCCTCTTCTCCCTTCTCCCCCCCACCCCCCAAAAAACATCCTCCCCACCCCAACCTACCCCTTCCCCGACTGCCCCACGCCGACCCCCGGCTCGCTCCCAGGCGGAGCGGCGGCCCCCGCCTCGGTCCGAAACTTTCAGAGATAAATCCCGGGAAAGTTTAGAGGAAGGTGAGTACGCGGGCCCGGCCGGCACCGCCGCCCGGCCCGCACCGCCGCCCCTCCGCCGGGCGCCCGGCTCCTCTTTTGGGGACACTTGCTAAAAAAACTTTTCCTTCCCCCCCTCTCCTCCCTTCTCTTCCCCTTGTTGCCCCCTTCCTTCCCCGCTCCCGCTCGTGTCTCCCCGCCATGTTAGCTGCGAAGAGGCAAGATGGAGGGTTGTTTAAGGGCCCACCATACCCGGGTTATCCCTTTATAATGATCCCCGACCTCAGCAGCCCGTATCTGCCCAATGGATCGCTCTCTCCGACGGCGAGAACGGTAAGTGCCGGTTTTTTTCCCCCTCTCTTTCCTCTCCCCCCCGCTCCTTGCCCGGCTCCCGCCGCCGCCGCGCTCCCGGTGCCCCGCTCGCCCCGGCCCTGCCGCCGCCCCCTCCCCCGCGCCGCAAACTTTCCAAACTCCGCGGGCCGCGGCGGGAGGGGGATTGTTTACACTTCGCCGTATTCCTTTTTTTTTTCCCCCTCGTTTATTTCTTATTTTGTCTTTTTCTTATTTGTTGTTAATTTCTTTTTTACTTTCAGTTTTGTGGGCATTTTTTTTTTTTTGAGCCCTTGTAACCTCCGCTGCGGTGGGGGGGGGGGGAAGGTGGGGAAGGAAAAAAGCAAACAAATTCCAAACAACACCTATTTCAGCCTCAAAACAAAACTAGAAAGAAATTTTTAAAAACCCAGGAAGTTTGGGGTTGGCGGGTTTTTTTCCCCCTCCCCCCTTTCCCTTCTCTCCCATCTCCTCTCCCCTTCCTTGGGGAGGGGGGTTATTTTCTCCCGGCCGAGGCTGAGATCCGCTCCTCCACAAACTCCTCGTTTTCCATGGTGATCCGTCGCCTTCTGCCCTCCTCCGTGGCGGCTGGGCCGGCTCCCCCTCCCCTTTCCTCCCCCTTAACCCTCTCCTGCCCTCGCCCGCCCCGGCCTGCGGCAGCGGCGATTTCATTGTGCCCCTCCGGGCCGTGCGTGCCGCGAGTTGTGCCCGGGCTCAGCCCGCTCCGGCCGCCCCGATCCGCGCCCCGCGGCGTGCGGGGGCCGAGCGCCGCTGCCCTGCCCGGCGGGGCCGGGGCCGAGCCCGGGGAGCGGCTCCGTCCCGGTGCGGAGCGGGGGGAGCCGCGCTCGGGGCACGGGGCTGAGTCCGGAAACAACTCGCCTCGCTTGGCTCGGGCAACAACAACAGCAGCGCAAAAAATAATCAGACAAGTCGAGCAAAATTCCTCTTGGAAGTATGCTGGCAGGAAAACAATTTGCTGAAAGCGTCCGGTTTTTTGTTGGTGGTTTTTTTTACCTTTTTTTTTTTTTTTTCACCCCTAACTCGGGGTTCACTGGCAGGGGGTGCAGGTCTGCGTGTGCCTGCAGCTGGAGCGAGGTTTAGCCCAGATCCCAGGAAACTTTGGGGTCTGCTGGTGGGTTTGTAGTTCCAGCTGTTTTCCCCGCTCCTAGTGTCACCCACGGTGTGCTCTACTCTAACATCAGATTTCTCAAGTGTCACCTTTCCTTTCCTTTTTAAAAGAGTTTAAAAATTTTTCATTTTGAATGCTTAAATCCACTGGGACTTCCGAACACCACTGATTCCTACCGATGGCTTTAGCGTTGCTTTTTTGTTTCTTCTGGGTGTTTCTGAGTCTGAAGCGTTCCCACCATCACCATGTGTGTTTATACACTTTTTTTTTTCCTTGTGGTAACACGAGATAGCGATTTACAATAATAGATCTACTGTTGGGTAGATGTTGAAGCCGTACTAATGACTGAGGGCTTGGACAACTTCAGTATATCAGATCTACAAGTGTTTTAAAGCATTAAAATATTAAACATCGGGTCAGTCTTGTTTTCACTTAGTAAAACGTCAGTAGACACAGATTAGTAAATGTAGAGTGACAGGGGGGTTGTGAGGAAGGTTTTCTGACTTTGCATATGTTTAGGGCTGTGGCAGAGTTTTATTTTGGAAGCTTGTGAGGCTCTTTTTGTGAGGAGGTGATTTCTGGGACAGTAGCAGAGGGGTGACTGCAGTTTGCAATTGTAATGATGGGGAGGGGAATTCAGGGGCTGAATGCATTATATTTTTTTCTTTTGAATATGGTCGCCCACATGTATATGGATGATGGTGATAAATTCCAAATTCCATAAGTAGCAGAATCCAGATGGCAAAACAATCTTTGTTCCAAATCACTTTGTTACGAATTGTGAAGCTTTGTATTCCTTTTTTTTTTTTCCCCTCGTTTTTTACCTTCAGTGCATTCCACTGTTCCAAGTGCAGACTAATCGGAAGCACACCTCTGCTGCCTTTTTCTTAAAGCGTTTTTCTTACACCAGCTCCAGCTCTTTTTTTCCTCATTACCTTTATTACAGATCCCTTTTCCCTTAGCATGTGGGGTAGGGTTCTTCAGCAGTCAGCTCTCCTGGAGCATTCCTCCCCTTGCTCCCCCACCGCTAAAAAAGGCCTCCATAGGAATGTTGGGTCCGTGTGAATTAAAGGTGCTGTACAAAAGCTTACAGGTTGGTTTATTGTTGGTATAGCAGGTGGCCTGCTTGTGTTATCAGATGAATTCTGAAAGGATATTTCCACACTCAATAGGCAATTTTCTTATTTCCACATCCAGGCTCCAGCAACCTTCTCCTATCTTCTTAACCTTATTCTTTCACATTCCGTATGCTTGTTTGTTTGCCTGCCACTTAATTATAGCCAGGAAAAATTAAAGTTGTTTATTTAGGCCTGAGAGCAGAATATTATAAAGATTCAGCGGGATAGCTGTTGTCTGTCACACACTATTTTTAGGTGGATTCTAGTTCTCTGCTGTACCAGCTTTCAATTCCAGATGAACTAGATCTTTCTCTTTCCTGTTTGATTTTATTTTATTTTTAAATACGCGTTGGAAAGGTATAGATGGTTCTGCATAATTACGAATTTTATTTTTATTTATGTAGTTTTTCCTGGAGCCATATTTGTTGAGTGTCAGAGCATGCAAGGTAAAGAGGTGATGCAGATACGTAGCAAAATTGTTTTTCTTTTCCTTTTGCTGTTGTACAATCTTAAAAGTCTGTGGGTGTGGCTTTTTTGTTGTGTTTTTTTTTTTTTCCTGGATTTTTTTTTTGTTGCTTTATTTGGGGGTGGAGTGGGATTATTGTGTTTTTTAAATGTACCTGTAATTGTCTGTTCAAGAGCAAACTTGTGGGCAGCAATTTCTCCTTTACTGCTTCAGGAATGTGAAGAATTATGAAGCATCATAAAATCTGCTTATGAGGAATAATCTATTCTCAAGGATAACGCTTTAAATACTGCAGACTCTTTATCAAGGTTAATAGGAATAATTTTATTTTTAAAAATCAAAGATTTTTTTGCATGCTAATTTTGCTGTTGGTAGAATACTGTGGTGGGCTTATGAGAATAGATGTTATTAAGTAGAGGTCTAGTCAAATAGGACTGAATTGACACATCTGAGAGCGCCAGTTCCATCCCTGCACTTGTGGAGGGACTGGGGTGGCTGCATGTTGTGGATAATAAAGGAGACTGTTTTCCTTTCAGAGTTGGAAAACATAGAAGTGGTGTACTTGATTTTTAGCTTAAATTTGGAGCTTGGTTAATGCTTTTGGTAAGCAAATATATGCAGTGTAATGTGAGAAAACCCTGCTGGCAGATGCTCTTATTTTTACTAGTGCTGTTGCATCTTCCTTTCCCCTGAGTTGTTGCTGGCTGAGTGAGGCTGTAGGGATAAGCTCATGTTTGGCCCCAAAGTTTGGGAGTCGGGAATAGCTGTGCTGGAGAGCAGCCCCATCGCCTTGATTTTTATGTTTAGGAGGAAACATTTTTTTTATTAATTGCCTTGAAAAATTGATGTTTTTCTTTATCTACTGAATCAAACAATGTAATCCTTCGTATTACAAAAGCTTTAGACCCTGGGACCCTGGGGTGTGAAGGGTTAATGGTGGTCCTTTTTTTTTTTTCCCCTCCCTCCAATTGTTTTGACAACACTTTTCAAAGTGTGACATTCCAAGCCCTTGCAATACAATGTAATATTACTGTAATTACACAGGTCATTACATTTTAAATAGAGAACAATAAAATGCTTATCGCCCTGAAAAAGAACAGGTGTTCTTGCCCTTCTTTGGTGTTTATGCTAATTGTTTTTCATCTCCTTCAGAAATATTTATGGCTGGAGTGTTTAGGTTTCAGTCTCGATGTGACAATATTAATTCTTTACTAATCTTTATGGTTGAGGTTTAATGTCTGCAGTATGGATTATAGTATTAATGTCCACCAACTAGTTTAATAATGTAGATACAACTTAATATGTCAGCACTTTGGTACTTTATGATACAGAGCTATTCAGTGGAGAGTGAATTATTTGCTTTGTTTAAAAAAAATGAATGGACATGCTTTTAATAAAGTTTCTGGACTTGTGTAAAAACAAGCTGTTAAATAAGAACTGATGATCCTGTGGTGTAAATCAAATGGAGCCTCCATAAAAGAAACTTTGCTCGTGCTTAATTAGGTAGATTGCTGAATCACTCTGCTATAGCATTAGCATAGCTGGTATACAGTGGCAAACAGACTGTGTTTGTTAACTTACTTGCAGTAAAGCAGCTGATTTATTTTTAATGCTATGTTTTTTTTCTTTTTTTTTTCTTTTTTTTTTCTTTTTTTTTCTTTTTTTTTCTTTTTTTTTCTTGATAAGATTTTATTCTGGAGCAAATGCTGCATTTCTTGCTCCATCAGTTTCTCTTCAGGGGGCTATGAAAATTAGTTAGAGAAAAGTTTCATGTTTCTGGGACCTTACAAAACAATATAATGCAGCACTGTTACTTGAGTGTACAGGATAATTGCAGGACTGCACTTCATTAAAAATAATATTTGCTTTGGAAATCGAACAATTTTAATAGGTGCACCAGTGGCTGATCTGTAGTGTAAAAAAATACAGTAGATGCCTTTCCAGGTTTTTTGAATGCATTCATACAACGACTGAGGATGTTGAAGAGGGTGGTGTGGTTTATTTTTTCCCTTCTTCCCCTTCACTTTTTGTTCAAGCAAGTATGTGCTGATTTGTCAGCTGAAGATGGAGGGGGGGAAGGAATATATTGCAGCTTTCACTGGCGCTTGTAAACCAGAATGTAGGTAAAAATGTTTTAAATTTGTCAAGACTTTCATGAGTGGGCCCCAAAATCAGATAAAAAATGTGGTGTAGAGAAAAAGGACAGCTGCAGATTTTTTGTGTGGACGTGTGTTTCTGTACCATGACTAAAAACTCTAAGGACCTTTTCCCAGCTGTCTGGGAGTTATGT